TAACTCCCGCATGGAGGTTAAGAAGCGATGTAGAGGTAAGCCACTGTCTCTCTAGGGCAACATAGAAGACGCTTATTAGTTCAAACCTATAGTTTACTCGAAGGTTCAGTTGTCTAGGGGTTGATATGGGGAAAGGAAAAGACGAGATAGACTCGGACGGTCAGTGGCGGTTTATTTTTCTGCAACAGTCAACCAGAGCAAACTTACGGCCGGGAAGACTTTAAATCCGAATAAACTTTTGAAGTTAAAGGTGCTACCACGGACTCACCGTCAAGATTTTATGTATAATAATAGTTATACAGAGACCCTTTGGATTCTCTCAGGACTATGTGATCTAACTGATGAAGCATGACGATAGAGACTGAGGAGAGCAATTATCGACAATTAAAATGCTGCGCATTCTATTTTACGTGTCTAGCCTATTTCAGAAATATCCTTTTTGCACGCAGAATATGCCAACAAATAATTTCATCAATCAAGATGCTTACAGCGTTGAGCGGAAACCTGTTATCTTGTACTTCGGCAGTTTTCAATGCTAATGTCTATTGCAGACTAAGTCTACGCGTTTTTTAAAAAAACGGAGTAAGTATCAATTAGCGTGAAGGAAAATAAAATAGATTTAGAAAAATAGAAGCCTTGGCGATTAAAAAATGCAGATTTGCACATCTGTGTGCATTGGTACCCCATAATCGCCGTAATAACGCAAAAAAGACGATTCCTTGTTTAAATATGCCAGCATTTTTTCTGCTTCTTCGAGTTATTCTGATATGTTATTACGGATATATCTGCGACCAACGGATATATTAAATTTGAAACACTTTCTGTATTATTATAATTCCGCAAATGCAAAAAAGGAAAGGGTACAAGATGAAACGCTTTAACAGCATTCCAGTACTTATAGGTAAATAAAGATAGCACAAAAGGTTCCCATAGAAAGGGGGAAATTTAATTCTTTCATGTACACCAGAAACATTATCACTAATCTTTTTTCCTTGATTTCGTCGTGGCAAAAGGTAAAGCACGCAGACATCTGTCAGCGAAATGCCACAATTTTTAGAGGTATCATGTCTATGTGAGTACATGAATGTGACCCAAGACATCCATCTGCATGAGAAATCGTATTTGGGAACTTACGACTACGGGAAATGTTTTTAAGAAATATTTTGTCGTGAATGTTTTAATAAACACACAAAAAACGCGATCTATACTTGTGGGCAATCGATTGAAAAGACTAAAAATCATGAAGTATTCACCACTATTTGAAGAACAAACTGAAACTCATGGTAATCCAACATCAGAAATACCTCTGAAGGAGTTTGATAAAAGGCTAAT